ACTACTGCTTGTTATGGTACATTTGCACAAAGGATAAGGCAGAGGAGTCAGGAACCAGAAAGGAAAAGGAAAGGAGGAAAAAAGTAGACAACAAGAAGAGATGAATAGTTGAGTGAGGCTGTACTTGTTACTGTTATGAGTTGTCCCACTTGGGACTAATTCTCCATTTACTGATGGGACCGTCCAGGGTGGCTTAGGACTGCACCTCTATGTCTGAGCCAGTTGCTGTTTAAACTCACTGGGGGACTTTAGATGCATGTTGAAATTGAATTGGGGTACCAGTAGGGGTAAAGAGGAGATTGGAATTATTCTCAAGGATATCTGAACTTTCAGACCCCTGAGGTATATGCGTATTTCTAGGGAGACTAAAAAAGTTAAAAACCACTGCTCTAAAGCTTAAATTGCTGTCTCTAACATATATGCATAATTATGCTTTGCTAGGATGAGAAGATAGGATACTGATAGAAGAAATGTGTGTGGATGTGTCTTCAGGCATATTCATAGGTCCAGAGCATAAACGAGAGTCCAAACAGAAAAAGTCCAGGTGCTGAAGGGCAGGAGGCACAGAAACAAATAAATGTGACTCATTTGTAAATGACGACAGACTGGGTGCAGTGGCTCACACCTGTAATCCTAGCACTTTGGGAGGCCGAGGTGGGAGGGTCATTTGAGACCAGGAGTTTGAGACTAACCTGGGCAACATAGGGAGAACCCTATCTCTATAAAAAAGAAAAGTAGCCAGATATGGTGGTATGTATCTCTACTCCCAGCTACTCAAGAGGCTGAGGCAGGAGTACGTGAGCCCAGGAGGTGGAGGCTTGCAGTAAACTATACCCCACCCCTGCATTCTATCCTGCTTGACAAAGTGAGACTTTGTCTCTAAAAACAGTAAGTATATGAGAACAAAGCTGTGGGTGCTGTTAATCACCCATTCCTTGTGCTCCTTTGTCCTCTGAGGCCACGATTGTGAGGTTTTGATGCTGAAGCCTTCCTGAGGTCTGTATTAATTTCCTAGGGCTGCTGAAACCAAGTTCTAGGTACCAAAAGATGGGTGGTTTAAAACAACAGGAATTTGTTCTCTCAGTCCTGGATTTCATAATAGAAGTCCAAAATCAAGGTATTGGCAGGGCTGTGCTTCAGCTGAAGCCTGGAGAGAAGAATCCTTCCTAGCTTCCTAACCAGTGTTGCTCCTTAGTTGCCAGCAATTCTTGGGGTTCCTTGGCTCTGGCGACATGACTCTAGTCTGCTCCATCTTCACGTGGCCACCTGCCGTGTGTGTCTTTGTGTCTTCACATGACCTTCTCATAAAGACACAAGGCACCTACTGTTGCATGATCTTGTCTTAACTAATTACTTTTGCAAAGATCCTATTTCTAAATAGGGTCATCTGAGTAGATATGACTTTTGGGGGACACTTCTACCCAGTACGAAGTGGGTTGAAGACTCTGCTGCATTCTTTGGGGTTTAAGATTGCACTGAGGAATAGAAATGGTAGATAGAGTTGGTCATAAAGACAGTAGAGAAGACAGGAGATACATCTTCAAAAGTGGTTGGATAGGTAGAAGTAGAAAAGAAACTTGGCCAGGCACGGTGGCTCACCCTAGCACTCTGGGAGGCTGAGGCAAGTGGATCACCTGAGGTCAGGAGTTCAAGACCAGCTGGAACAAGAGCGAGACCCTGTCTATACTAAAAAACAGAAAAATTGGCCAGGTGTTTTGTGGCTATTTCCTTATGACACCACAACACACTACGTAGGCTGGCAAAGTGAGACTCTTGTCTCAAAAGAAAAGCGTGAAATGACATTCTGTTAAATGTTAATTGGCTTTGCAGTCAAGATACCAAAGGCTGTAGGTTTAGGAATGGAGAAGGAGGTTGTTGACGTCTCCTGTTCCCTTCTTGATATAATTCGTTAGCTCTGCATTCCTGATTTAAGAAGCTATAAGCTCCAAAACAACCTCCACCCCAATTATGAACAAACACATCTAACTTTTATGACTCAATAAAGGAAGTATCTTGCAATAGTCAGGTAGTGTTACCTCAAAATTCCCTTATTTCTCATCTGAATCATAAAGCCAATTTATACAGCATCACTGTGTCCGGTTGCAGTAACAGTGGCTTCATGATACTAACTAGCCCAGTTTTACTTTCTCTGCACAAAGCTGAGAGTGAGACTGAGGAAAATACTTGTCTTACAAGGGGTCCTAGCCCAGGGATTGGGTTTCAGTTAGATAGGTTATTTCAGGCTTGCAGCAGGCCCC